TTAAAACACTCGCCACAACTTGTCTCGACAGAACCGKCTGACACATTTTGCATTCCCCAAGTTTGGCGAGTAAGTGCAACCAGGCGCCTTCTCGCCAAGTTTGGTGAGAAGGCGCCTGGTTGCACTTACTCGCCAAACTTGGGGAATGCAAAATGTGTCAGACGGTTCTGTCGAGACAAGTTGTGGCGAGTGTTTTAAGTTTCCCCGCCTGAAGAAGGGAGGTTTCCGCAGGGTGGTCCTTTGGACCCTTGCACAAAGCAACTTCTTGGCGAGTGCATGGCTTCACGAGTGGTTTGGAGATCAGGCAGACAATTGTTTTTTAACTTTTCCGCAGAAGAAATATACCGGCGAGTACCAGGATTCTCGTTTTTATAACAGGCCTAGTCGCAGTATTCCCCATCCACCACAATTTGTGGCAGATGTATGTAGAGTGAAAAAAACTAGAATAGGGTAGAACTGGAGGCCTGGTTGCACGTACTGGCCATTATGTTTCTTCCACAGAGAAGCTAAAAAATTTGGTCTGCCTGATCTCCACTCGTGAAGCCGTGCACTCTCCAAGAGTTTGTTTTGTGCAGAGGTCACCAGGACTTCTACAGAGAAGCTAAAAAATTTGGTCTGCCTGATCTCCACTCGTGAAACCGTGCACTCGCCAAGAGTTTGTTTTGTGCAGAGGTCACCAGGATGACCCTCCACAAAATGGCAGTAGAGAGTCGGGAACTCGCCGCACTCTGTGGGGGATTGAAAAAGGAAACTCGTCAGAACTTCTGACAGGTCTCCTCGCACCAAGTTTGGCCAGTAAGTGCAACAAGGGGCCCACTCGCCAAACTTGGCGTACGGAGAGTAGTGCAACCAGACCCTGAGGGTAAAGACTTTTCTGGATGTATATGACCGCGTTGCCCACAACACCTGCAGCTAACAGCAATTACGCATACAGAGAAGCGGAACAAGTCCTGGTGTGAGTATGCCCTGAGAGAAGCCATGCAGCACTCACCAAAACTGGGCTGGGTGAGGTGAGTACTGCAACGTGGCCCATCAGGTCTCTTCTTCCACCCTCCTGTTACTCCCTCCTGAGACGGGGCACACATGTGAGGCATTCACATTACACTCAGAAGAACGACAACGATTTTGTAACTAGTGCGGCGAGGCCCTGAGTGGAGCCATGCAGCAGTTATAAAAAACTGCAGTGGGCTGAGTAGTTCAACGAGGTCCATCAATCTCTCTCTCTCTCTCTCTCTCTCTCTCTCTCTCTCTCTCTCTCTCTCTCTCACACACACACACACACACACACACACACACACACACACACACACACACACACACTGTGACGCACTCTCTCTCTCTGCCCCACACACACAGGCACCCACGTGTGGCATAGAGATTACATTCAGAAGAACGACACCGACGAGAAAGCAGGACAGGAGTGCCTTGTAGGATTACCAATTCCGAGAGTTCTTTTTTCTTTTTTTTGGCTTTTCTGTTTTCACGTTGTTTCTGCGATCTTTCCTTCCTCCTTCGTTTTTCTTTCTTTCAATCCAATACTTGTTTCTTTTTTTTTTTTTTTTTGCCTATAGCTACTTCAGCCTACGTGCTGCCTTTTTCAAGGGAGACCGGACTTTATATTCTACTAAAATAATTGCGTTTGTTTCATGCACCCTTGCCTTGCCTCTGTGTGTAGGCCGAAGCCCACGGCTCTATCACACCCTGCCCGGCGCACACACTTTCCATAGCCGCGGTAGTAATAAACGACCTCAAAAGGCTGAAAACAGTGTAGGAATAAATTACAAGGTCAGGGTAACGTCAAGGTAACGCCAAGGTCAAGGTAACGCCAAGGTAACGCCAAGGTAAGAGGGAATAAACGACCCC